TAGACTATTTAAGGGGCTGTTAAAAATGGTTGTAAAGGGGTGTTGTATGAGAAAGAAGAAAAAAAATGTGAACAATGAATTTCGAGAAGCACTTAGCGAGCTAGGTTGAAAACGAAAATTATGAGAATGAAATGGGTGGTTTAAAGGCTCAATTAGGGGTTGTTTTTGCATTGATTAAATGTGTATGTGAATTTACATGTGGCAGTTTTAAATAAAAGGCGCGATAGAAGTGGGAAACGAGTGTCGGTAACGTCGAAACCCTGATTTTTAAATATTATTATCACATGTGTCAATTTTAATTTAAATAACCTGAAATTTTGCATACAATATTTTTAAATGATGCTTGACGTGATAATGTGACTTTCGAATACAAATGAGTATAATATCCAGTGCAAAATGTATGAAATGCCGGAAGTGCAATTTTTTAAGATTCGGGGTCGAAATGTGTGAAAATGGACCCCCGGTCAATGTATTTGACCAACTTAATCGTAATTGTGATTAATGTGATTGATTTTAGAAATTTGGGGAGGAAATGTGATCTCTAGAACAAAAGTGCTAATGTGTGAATAGATAGTGCGGTAACCGGGGTTACCAGGACACTTTTGGTGCATCATTTGCATGTATTAGTGCTTGATTAACTATTAAATATAATAAACATATTGATATTGTAATTACAAATGTGTTAGGTAGAACGAGTGAGATAGTCGGTATCGGAACAAATACGGTGACCGAAAGGATCCATTGATAGGACCGAATGACCATAAATTTGTACATCTGAGGTGGGTGTATATCTTTATATGTTTTGAAAATGCTATTATAATATGATAGTAAATGATAACATTTAATAGCATTTCTCTAGAATTATATGCTATGTGTTTATGTGATTGGTTGCTGCTTTGTACTGTATATTGTGTATTGTGAAATGTGACGCACTGTTTGAGACAGGGTGTCGATGCCTGATCACTGGGTGTGTAGTGATATGCTAGCACTATGGTGTTTCCGGGAGGTTCGGGAGACACGGATCCATGTGAGATCGATTATCCGATGAAGGATAGTATGAATGTGATGTGACTTATAAATTCTTTAGAATTGGATTAATGTTGTTGTTTGATACGTGTATCTACCTACTTCAGTGTATTACTATCATTTCCATTTCATATACAACATGTATACTCACTGAGCGCGTAGTTTAGCTCACACTCCTACAACTTCTTCTTTTCAGGTACTATAAAGGAGGATACAGACCGATCCACTGTCCAATTGATTGAGTCTTGTGCAACGTTAGTGTGATATCACTCAGGTTGAGTGTCAGTATAACTAATTTTTGGATTGTGTATTATATTTGTGAGAGATTATTATGGCAGGTTAATAATATATATTGTAAATAGACTCAACAAGTATACTTTGTGATGTATGCTATGTGGGTGTGAGATTTTGTATATGTCTATAACCTGAAAAATAAATGATTGATACATGTGTTTTATATATAGTACAGGTTATAAGACAGGTTTTACTATCATGCTTAATAACTAAAGTAATGAATAGTGTTGTTGCACCTGTGAGATTATATCATGTATTGATTAGTCTAGCTTATAATAATTGTAAACAGGTGTATTAAAAATCTAGTCGCATCTCATCCTTGGGAGACCGGGATGGGGCGTGACACCTTTCTATATATTTCTTGTTTATGAGATTGTATAGAATAATGTTTATTATTTATACATTTTTGGACTTAGTCCAACATGCTCCAAGAAGGAGCACATTTTGCTTCTTATTTTTTGTTAATGTCATTTTTAAATGGTGGGATAAGGTTTTATTACTTCTCTAAAATGTTAAGGGATCGTTATGTTTGTAGGGGATTTATCCGCGCATTCGGGATGTCCTCCCTCCACCGAAGGATTTTGGCTGACCTGGTGTAAGCCTACGCTTTGTGCCAGTAGCTTTTACCTCTCAATCTCCGCGGGCATGCTTGTCCCACATCGATGGAGAGTCGTCTCCCCCCTTGCATATAAGCCTTGGCACTATGCGAGGGGGGGAGACGACTCTCCGTCGATGTGGGACAAGCGTGCCTGCGAAAATCGAGAGATAAAGGCTATTGACACAAAGCGTAGGCTTATGCCAGGTCAACTAAAATCCTTCGGTGGGGGAGGACATTCCGAACGCGCGGATAAATCCCCTACAATGTTAATATTGAAATAATAAAAGAGTTAAGAAAAATATACGTTTATATGGTGCGTACAAAGAAATGCAAATTGCCCACCATGATTATTGGTGCATTAGGTTGATCGAGACTTGACTTTTCAAATTTAGAACCTGTGTTGGGCCCGGTCTGTCAGCTCTTAGTGGCTACACGCCCGGTCGTGCGTGATATATTCCCAATTCATACAAATAGAACGTATCACGCACTATAACCTTCCTTTTTTAAGCTGCGCCATTTCATCAAAGATTTGAAAAGGGTCCAAACTTGTATTTGATGCTTGGCGTATCGATAGGCTTCTCTGAAAATTGTAGGAAGTTATATAAAAGCTCAATAAATAGCATCCACCCATGATCTCTTATCTTCTGTTTGGTATGAGAGAATATTAGATGGATGAATAAAGATAGATGAAAAGTGGAAGGGAAAGAGACGTTTTCTTTTGTTTGGTTAGGAAGGAAAATGGAAGGGAAAGGAAAATTGAATGGAAAAGCTATGCCTCTCGCTCACCATTTGTAAGCCGTCAAAATTTGGGCCGAAAATAAAAGGAAGAGTGCTCGCAAATTATCACAATTGTTAAATTTACTATAATGCCCCTTCAAAGTGGTGACTTTTTTTTTTTTAAAAGAACAAAACAAAAGCGGTCCACATTTTTTTTTTCTTGCCAACATAATGATAGGACCTATGAGATATTTTTACTCTATATTTTAGACAATCACAAGGGTATTCATGTAATTTTAAAAAGTTATATTTTTCTTTTAATTTTTCCTCATAACTAATAAATCGATAAAAAAATATTTTTTTCTAATTTTTTTCATTCCTCCTACCAAATAAGAAGAGAAAAAACATCTTTTCTTCCTCGAAGAATTGAAAATGCATCTCTCCTCTTTTTTTCATCCCTTATGTTTTTTATCCCTTCTACCAAACATGCCATTAATGACTTCATTTTTAGAGGTGTATTTGTGAATTTATCAAATAACTTAAACATACATGTAACAACGATGTAGCACTTACAATAGTTTTTCATGAAAAACACAAAAGGAAATAACATGCAAATTCTCCAATGTCATAGTAAAATCAGGGGGAGAAATAAAATAATAATAATAACTTAAAAATTACCAATATATGGGGATATTTTATATTGAATAGTATAGATAATAAGTTTTCCATAACATGAATTATGTACTTATTAGCATAGAGAATTTTATTGGAGCTAAAAAAAAACTTTGTAAAACAAAGTGCATTGGAGAAAATCTAATTCGATAAAAAAACAAACACTAAAAATAAATTTTAAATCCTTAAAGTTTGTAAGAAATTTAAAATTGGGTTGGTAAAATTTAAATGCGTCATGACTCATAATACGTTGATATGTGACACCGACATTTTTAAGGTCGAAAGACATAGCATTAAAGAATTTTTTCTTCTTAGCACATCATTCACTATGCATTCAAGTCTCTACTTATCGTATATAAGTGGCCTCACTTATTAACAGTGATTGATGTACCAAAAATAAAATTGAAAAGAAAATGCACTAAGAATATCTGGATCCTAAATTGTCATCCCACTATAATTGTCAATCAATGCAATTTATGTAACACAGCGGTTACACTTAATACCCAATTTCATGATTATGCACTTATTATGGTAATTAATGAACATTAATAGGAAAAAATATCAATAACTATTATTTTTCTCCACAAAAATTCATTAAGTCTTATTATTTTTGTTTTATATCAATGAAGTCTTATTTTTGATATTTTATTTCAATTAAGTCCTAAATTTCATTATATTCTAATTTTATCCTTATCCTTTAAATATCAAAATTCTTTTATTTTTAGAACCAGTTAAGAGAACAAAAATTTCTTACTTACAAAACCAACTTTGAAAACCCATAAAAAAAAAACTCAGCTAAAATAAATTTCATGACAAGATCTACAGAAAATCCACATTTTCTTATTTTCTTAGCTCATAGGGGTACCTAATCCTAAAATCTGAGATAATATTTGTCGAGTATTTAATAAAATAAGAAATGTTAAATGTTTGTCGATTAATTCTACTTTAATATTGTTATTGATTCAAACACAATATCTAAAATAAATTCATAACTTAATCATTTTAAATATAATATAAATTAATAAAATAATTTAAATCAACAAAAAAAAAATATCAATAGAATATTTAATATAACAATATTACCTTAATTAAAGTAAAAATTAACTTGTTGTAAGAAAAAAACACATCGCATAAAACTTGAAAATTCTCAAAGGTGTGCCGCCGAAGTTGACATACCAAAAAGAATACAAAATCACATAATAATTGAAATACTTCGAGAGTGTGTTGGCAAGTTGACACAATAATGTAAAAAAATGAAAGTATTTTGGTAACTAAAGGATAAAAATAAAATTATAATATAATTGAATTAGGATTTAATTAAATTAAAATATTAAAAATAGGACTTCATTAATACAAAATAAAAATAATAGAGCTTAATAGATATTTATAGGAAAAAATAATATTTATTGGTAATTTTCCCAAATTAGTATCATCTAATCAATACAACTAAGCTAAACCCTATCGACGGCTTCCAATAGGCTTTAGGAATTGAAGAACCGCCGCGCCGTTTGAGCTTCGGCTCCACGTCCACGTCATCACCGACTTCACTCTGTAACGCAATTACGCCACCAGTTTTTACGATCTCGAGATAAATCCAACGATCTATAAAGTTCTGCTTTATAGGAAACCGTAAAAAATTGAATATTCAATTCATATACACATTCCCCTCCATTGGATTCTTATGTTCATCGACATGGAAAATATTCAGGTTAAACAAGAAATCATTCAACAGTTCAACACATATGCGGATCGGATTAAAGTTTCACATCCACTTTCTGTGATTGATCTCAGTAGTAGCGACTCCGATTCCGACTCTTCGGATTCGGATTCCGACACTGGCGGTGATGTTAACGGGAAGAGGTCTAGGGTTTCGAGTGGTGGTGAAGGACATGTGTCGAAGAAGAAGAAATTGGAGGAACTAGGTGTGGTTTTACCGGTTGGGTTTCTTGATCCTTTGCCGCCGAAAGATACGCCTCTGGCGTTGCCGCCACCGCAGGCGTTGCCTCCATCGACGGCCAATGGGAATGCGAGTGCGGTTGTGGATGCTCAGAATGTTAAGCAGTTCTGGAAGGCCGGTGATTATGTGGGAGCTCCTGGTGGAGATTGGAATATGTCATCGGGTAAGATTGCTCGCTATTTGTTGGGGCATTCGTGAATTTGTTTCAAGTAATTTCTATTAAGTTACTGCATATGGAGATTGATTGATTAAGAGTGAAACTCCTATATAAGTAGTATGTTACAGGTAAACTCTTACCTCTTTTGTAAGTGTGTCAAGCAACATAGAAATTTCCTGAGAATGAGGGTGTTGCTGCATATTCTTTTCTGTGGTTTGCCAGAACATTGGCAATTTGGCATGGATTTTATCCACGGTATACACAGAGGCACTGCCTTTAAAAGAAGTTGTTTTCGTTTTGCATTGTTATTTCTAGTTCCGGAATGGTGTTGATGAAATTTCAGCGCCTTTTTGCTAAAGCTTGTGTAATCTTTTATATCGTTGTTTCCTTGCATTAAGGATTTGTTGCTTGTTTACAGAGTCTAATGAGTTATATCCGACGAGCTTTTTTCTTTTTGAACAGAGAAGAGGAAGGGTTGGGGGGGGGGAGGCAACGGCTAGTGCTATATATATACATGCAATTTTTTCCTTCCTTCTGTGCAGGTGGCATGGATCATGTCAGGGTTCATCCCAAGTTCCTACATTCCAATGCAACGAGTCATAAATGGGTTCTTGGCGGTAAAACTTCCCAACCTGTCAGCATAACATTGAGTTTCTGTATATCTTTTTTTTTTTTTTTACCTATCAGAGAATCAACTTTTCACAAGTGTTCCTAGTTCTTTAATCCGTGTTTCTTATTTGTCTGACTATAATTATGCAGCTTTTGCGGAGCTTTTGGACAATTCTTTGGATGAGGTATCTTATATTTACATACCCGATCACGAATATTTTTCTTTTCCAGGAGTGTATTTGAGAATTTGGTTTCAATATTAGGTCTGCAATGGAGCTACGTATGTCAATGTTGATATGGTAAGAAATAAGAAAGATGGGAGCAGAATGTTGTTGATTGAAGGTATTTTATATTCGACTTTGGAAATCTCTCTCCCCCTTTGTTTCATGTGGTTTTTCACTATTAAATGATAATTGTCTTTGATTTTTAGAAGGCTGATTTCTAGTTCTTTTTATATTTGGTCTAAAAAAATGATGCCACCTAAACATTGATGCACCCTAGTGGATTTTAATTCAAATTTTATGTGTATAATGGAGATATTAATCTTTGCTTTCGAATATTTTGTGGTCTCATCTTTTATTATGAGCTTCGAAGTAGGTATCCAATCTTTTTTTTTTATGACAGGCTTTGCTTTTTGTCATTTTGTTTTTATCTTACTTTATGCACAGGTGTTGGCCATTATTCTTAACTTTGTTGTTGCTTATGGATTCTTTATTGTGTTCCTTTTGTAGATAATGGTGGTGGGATGGATCCGGATAAAATGCGGCATTGTATGTCGCTTGGGTACTCTGTAAAAAGCAAAGTAGCAGATACTATTGGACAGTGTAAGCTAAATGTCTTATAAATATGTCATTGATACTGGTGGTTGTCTGTTCATCTACTTTTTTATTTAACATATAACTTGTTATATTATTCTCTTTGTTGTGTTGTTTTACCAGATGGAAATGGTTTTAAGACGAGTACCATGAGGTTAGGAGCTGATGTTATCGTGTTCTCACGGTGTTGTGGGAAAGATGGGAAAAGGTTAGCATTTATTTATTTAAATATTTGATTGTTACTCTCATGTTGCTTTGCAGTGTGGATGAGAAATTTTTTCCTCCTTTAGTTTATTTGACATTTGAAGTTGTTAGTTTACATTGCAATGACTACTCGTATTTGAAGTTCACTAAATTACCCTGGCTTCATTGTCCACTTTTGTGCACTCGAGAATGTAACTATGGTCTTGGATCGCATGTTTCTTGTTAATACCTCAACAAGTTCTTGGCGATCTGCATGGGGTTGCTAAAAGGATTCTTTCCCACCCTTTGTCAAATGTTCTGTCTTGAATAGCCTACCATAATTTTATTCTAATTCCTCACCACTTCCCTTTTATTGTTTTTGACTTTTCTATGGTTTGTAGTGCCAAAGTTCCTTAGATATTCAGTGTAGATGCCATTCAGTAAATATCATGCATGAAATATACATTGGGTTACTGTAGAGACAATATGTATGCTCAATCTAGGTTGCCCAAGATTGTTGTGATCGAGCTGTGAGTGTTTCATTACTTCATGATATAGAATAGGTTGACCATTTTGAATTGGCATGTCAAAATGGCTTAGATTTTGAAGGCTTCAATTGTTTTTTTGTTTTTGTTTTTGTAATTATTAGCTGAATCTAGATGAATTTCTACTCCAGTACTGATTGAAGTGTTTGGATTAATTTTTAGGCCCACACAAAGCATTGGGTTGTTGTCCTACACATTTTTGAGGAGCACAGGGAAGGAAGATATTGTAGTCCCTATGGTAATGTTCATTTTGTTATGCATTTTGCTTGGACGTTACTCATGTATGTTCGTCATTATTTCACGATTTAGTTCGAAACCCTAAATCCTTCGCAACACCATTTCTTGGCTGCGAAACTAGATGTCAATGGAATTATCATTCCTAAAGAAAGAAAAAAGTAGATTCAGTTATTATCAAATATTCAAATGGATATAGTTATGCTCTTAGGGGACATTCATGGGACTACCCTTTTATTCTCTACGAGGGAGTGTAGTTATTCATTTTGATCTGATTTTGATTAGGTTTGTAACTAGGGTGCCTTACTAAAGACTTGATGAGGGTAGGATTTCGGAAGAGTAGATGTTGAATTAAAAACTTCCATATTTTTCTTGCTGTTTGATTTATGAGCCTACAGTAATTCTAGGGCTAGGATTTGTAAATTTGTAGTATATCATGGAGGGCCTTGGGGGTGACTAATTGAGCTCGTCACTTTCAATATGCTGATTAAACAATGCTTTTCAGAATTGGAGTTTTTAACCTCAACTTTTTTTTTTTTTTTGGTCCAAAACCTCAACTCCAAGAGCATATTATTAATAAGTTTCATTTTGCTTTAGTCGGCAATATGTTTTCAACTTTTTCTTTGGGTCCTGATTATTTTATGTCCATGGGGATGACAATTTGACTAAACAAAGGAAGTGTAATTTGTCCTACCCCACGCTTATGCCAATTGGGTCTGGTAGAAAATAAGGACCGAGTGCGGGGTTAGGGTGGGGTTGGTTGATCCCACCTTGCAGTGATCTTATACCCAATACAATTCCACTACCGTTTTGAACTGAGCACTCAAGTTCCGTCACTTGTATGTATCTCTTTGACTTTGTTGTTTGCCTCTCTCCACTCTTTTTCTCCATCTCTTTCATCAATAACTTCATCTTTCTCATCATTTTCTTCCAACAGTTTGGCGCCTTCATGCTTCTGTTCTGTATCAATGTATCTATCTACTTTCTATAAATCAATCATCTTTGTTTCTTATATAATATCTATCTCCAGAAGTGTAGAAACTGAAATTCAATCCAAGGAAATTGTGATTCATGGACAAGTTTAATTTAGAGTTTGGTTATGATATTATTTCGTAGTGTGTGATTACTTCTTCGAGATCGTGGCCAAGATGTGTGCTCCAATTAGTATTTTCTGTGCTCTATCTAAATGGATGGGTGGGTTGGGCATTAATGTGTTTGGCAGCGTGGGGATGGGATTTAACATGGTGCCGGAGAAGGTTATTGTGCAGAGATGGCATAGCTTCCTTCTCAGCGGGGTGGAAAGGGATCACTTTCTCTGTTCCACCTATTCCCATCCCATAAGTGCCTATGTGGGAAACAGGCATATATATTGTCTCTAAAGTTTGATATTCTTTTATTGGCTCATGAGTTCTCTGCTAGGCTAGTAGGGTCAACAAGGCCGCTCCCCCAAAGCATGTGCTCACTTCCCAAAATGAAGCTGCTTTTTGTATGCCTTATGGAAAAACTACCTTGTACCATATTTGGGACTATGTGGGGAGGACTTTCTTGTTTGTAATTGGCATAATCCTTGGATTGGAAGATTTGTGCTTCTCAAAAGATGAAAGAATAAAAAGTTAGTTCAAAGTGGAGTTGGTCTGTACAAAAGATGTGTTCATGGATGTTGCATATGGTCTGAGCCACCTTGGATATTTTCACCCCTCATTTAGTTTTTTGCGCAATTGGTCTTCATAACTATCCAAAATGGTTTTTTAAATGTTGTTAATAGAGTACCCCAAACTTTACCTTTTTCTACACCATTGCTCTGTTTTGATCATTACTGTACCATTAGATACCTGTTGCATGAAGGTGCCAAAAAAGTTTGCTCATGTCTACTAACGGTGTCTTGGTTGTGAAATGTGGTTTGTATTTAACTAATAGCTGGTCAATTATTGTAGGATGTATATTTTTGTTTATTTTCTTATAATCATAGTCGATACATTTACTGAAATGACCAGCTCGACTATGAAAGAGGAGGACAAGAATGGAACAAGATTATACGATCATCTGCTGGTGATTGGAATGTAAATGTCGAAACTATCGTAAGATGGTCTCCATTTTCAAGTGAAGCAGATCTCCTCCGGCAGGTAATTTTATTTCTTTTCTCATGGTTTAGAATTTAGAGTTGCATAAATCTTTGGTTTTGTAAGAGAATTTCTTACTTCATGTGAGGGGACTTGAGTAGCTGTGTTATCAGCTACTCGAGCATGTAGACCATGCTGTTTCTAGTTTATGTACTGGTTACTGAGAGTCTTTTACCTATGGATGCTGTTGCTGGCGTCATTATTCCTTTATCTGTAATATGACATGATTTTCTGTCACTGGGTGTGTTTTCATGTTTGATTGAAGCTACACAATCTCTTGACGTTTATACTTATGTAGTCTTGAATATATGCAATTTTTATTCCATGTTGACTTCAGGGGAATAAGTTCCTGAATTGTGGAATATGCTGCTATGTCTTTCTTAAATTGTTGTGAATGTGGAATTCTTGTCAGGGTCTTAGATATTTTCAATTAATTCATCAAAAATAAAATTTATTTTATTACTTGTTTGCACATTACTCTAGTAATAACAGTGTATGTGCTTTTAGTTTACTATGGAATCACATTGTACTGCTTTCTTGAAGTTAAATTGTGCACCCTATCACTTACCAAAACAAGAAAGGTGTATTATATCCATGGGAATTCACATCTGCATGTACAGTAATACTACAGCCATAATAAACTAATGTTGTCAACCTGAAGCTTCCAAAGCCGCACTGTATTTACGTATTGAATATAATAATGATCGACTTCAAACTAGGCCTCTTATATACGTTATGTGTATAAGTGGAAGTTTTTAACATTCCTGGTTCTTCTTTTCGTAATGATCCTTTTATTGTGCAGTTCTAAGTTTTGCGGTGTCTCCCTTGCTCTTTCATATTGCTCATTTTTTGCTTTATGACTGACTGCATTGTTACCAGGTTGTTGCTTAGTTATAGTTAGAATTGTTGACTTTATTTTTAATTTTGTTTACTATACAGTTCAATCCTATTAAAGACCAAGGTACCCATGTAATCGTTTACAATCTTTGGGAAGATGACCAAGGACTGTTGGAACTTGATTTTGACGCTGATCCACATGTATGCTTTCGATTCCTCTGTGTTTTGTCCATTTTTATTGTTTTTGTTAATTCATAAATATAACTTGAAATACTGACTTGGAATTTATTATATATATGATATTTTTGCTGCAGGACATCCAAATTAGAGGTGTCAACAGAGATGAGAAGAATATACAAATGGCAAAACAGTTCCCTAACTCTATGCACTTCTTGACCTATCGACATTCACTCAGGGTAACTAATGGGTGTTTACCGTGTTGCATAAATAACTGTTTTTAGAACTGATATCTGGATACTTTGGCTTTTGGCAGAGCTTAATTTTATTAATAGCACAAATGTTCAACAAAATTAAAATGCTCCATATGAGTTCTCAATGAGAAAGAACGATGAATATATGAGAGGGAACACAATAGTGGAATAGAATTAAAGTTGATGAATGATTTGTGTCAGTTGTCAAATCGCGCATTGGAAGACATATCGTTTTTCAAAAATAGTATATTGTATCGTGTATTGTAAGATACATGTAATTTTAAATAATTATTAATAATATATATATACCTTTTTAAAAAGTTATAGACTCATCATAACATAACATTTCATTAATATTCTACAAACTATTTAAGTTCCCAATATAGTTCAGTAATATTAAAATTCTAAGACCTCTAATTAAAATTTCTAATATCAACTGCTTGAACAACTTTAATATTAATTAAGAATTTTTAATTCAATTAAACAACATTAACAGTAATTTTTTTTTTTTTTTGTTAAACCATAATCACTGAAATGACGTTGTTTCACTAGTTAGTGATTTAAAAATAAGTTTTAGGGTGAAACGATGTCATTTCAGCCCCAAAAAATCCCCAAAAAAAAATAAAAATAGAATCTACATGTATTTTAATTATTGTATCGTATATCTTATGATACGGTACAAAAACGATATAGAGACACGATATGTATCGTTCTTCAGGTGTATCGTGACATATCATACGATACGTATCGTGTATCGTACGATACTAATAACTATGATTTGTGTAACCTTGTGAACAGTAACTTATTAGCATTTGTGATGTTCACATACTTGGATGTGTAACCTGACCTGTTACACTGCCTGTCCATTTTTTGGGGGAATCCTGCTCTTCAGTGCAATTAAATCCGCCTTGAAGAAAAAGGGCCTCTGTGCTAAAAGCAATAGTTGAATAGTCTCATATTGTTTTAATGACAAGCATAATGCTTTCTTTTGCTGATCAAAGGGAATGTCAAATTATTTGAACATGGATGCATTATGACATGATTGGTTTTTGCCTACCCTGAAAATTGAGTATATTTCTTTCGAATTGAGTTATAATTTTGCAACATGAAATCTTGAGTCAGCCTGAATGAAAGCCCAAGGGTGCAATGGTATACAAGAAATAGGTGAAATGTGGCAAACGCCCCTTTGGCCATGCACATGAGTTGAAGGTATTTTACTAATTTCGGAGACCATCAACAATTTTTGGTCATGTTTCAAGTCTATATTAAAAAAGGTGAAATTCTAAATTTGTACATGTGACACGGACTTTTTGGAAAACTCACCAACATTTTTTTGTCAAGACTTGTTCGAATGTAACTTTCTTAGATGATAGAAGAGTGTAATGACGAGGATAATCATATTAAAGGCCTATCTTAAATCATTTAGAAGCTGGGAAATTAAGATCGATTTAAATGACGACCCTTCAAGGCTTGTTGGGAAATTACTTTCTTAGATGAGAGAAGATAGTGTAATGATGAGGTTAATTGTATTAAAGGCCTATCTTAATTTAATTAGAAGCAGGGAAAGTAAGANAGTGATTTAAAAATAAGTTTTAGGGTGAAACGATGTCATTTCAGCCCCAAAAAATCCCCAAAAAAAAATAAAAATAGAATCTACATGTATTTTAATTATTGTATCGTATATCTTATGATACGGTACAAAAACGATATAGAGACACGATATGTATCGTTCTTCAGGTGTATCGTGACATATCATACGATACGTATCGTGTATCGTACGATACTAATAACTATGATTTGTGTAACCTTGTGAACAGTAACTTATTAGCATTTGTGATGTTCACATACTTGGATGTGTAACCTGACCTGTTACACTGCCTGTCCATTTTTTGGGGGAATCCTGCTCTTCAGTGCAATTAAATCCGCCTTGAAGAAAAAGGGCCTCTGTGCTAAAAGCAATAGTTGAATAGTCTCATATTGTTTTAATGACAAGCATAATGCTTTCTTTTGCTGATCAAAGGGAATGTCAAATTATTTGAACATGGATGCATTATGACATGATTGGTTTTTGCCTACCCTGAAAATTGAGTATATTTCTTTCGAATTGAGTTATAATTTTGCAACATGAAATCTTGAGTCAGCCTGAATGAAAGCCCAAGGGTGCAATGGTATACAAGAAATAGGTGAAATGTGGCAAACGCCCCTTTGGCCATGCACATGAGTTGAAGGTATTTTACTAATTTCGGAGACCATCAACAATTTTTGGTCATGTTTCAAGTCTATATTAAAAAAGGTGAAATTCTAAATTTGTACATGTGACACGGACTTTTTGGAAAACTCACCAACATTTTTTTGTCAAGACTTGTTCGAATGTAACTTTCTTAGATGATAGAAGAGTGTAATGACGAGGATAATCATATTAAAGGCCTATCTTAAATCATTTAGAAGCTGGGAAATTAAGATCGATTTAAATGACGACCCTTCAAGGCTTGTTGGGAAATTACTTTCTTAGATGAGAGAAGATAGTGTAATGATGAGGTTAATTGTATTAAAGGCCTATCTTAATTTAATTAGAAGCAGGGAAAGTAAGATCAATTTAAATGGTGGCCATGAAGGGTTCATGGGAGGATAAGAAAAATTTCGGTTATTATGTATTGATATTTGATAGTATGCTTCATCCATACGACAAAGGTGACTTCAGTATGGGTGAATTTTTGGTTTTTGACACGTAGTGACTTGATGGAGGATAGTGAATTCACTGGAGGTAGTGTTACACAGGCTTAATCACCTGCCTCCAGCATTATTTAAGAGCCTTATTTGGGCACTAACAAAAGTGGCTTATTAAAGGTAGGTTTGCTATAATAATTATGAGGCATTGCAATGCAGAGGAAGTAGCAATAATTATTGCATATGTTAATTACTTAGGCAACTTCCCCAACCTTTATAGACAGTTCTGCTCCTGTGTCATACAATCAAATGGAAGCTAGCAACCTGGACTGTATTGCAATAATGTTACAACAAGGTGCAAAAATTAAGAAGGGTTAGAATTGCCAAAGATGAGCTAAACCTTGTGGTCTCATTAGTATGGAAAATTGGAGTCCCTCCGCGGGTAGAAATTGAAACCATGAGCCTAGCTGAGCTGTAAATTACTTTTGTTATTGTGTATTATCTTCATTTTTAGTACTATCTCAATTTGCTTTAATTTTTGTTCAAATTGTCAGAGTTATGCATCAATTCTCTATCTCAGAATTCCTCCTGGCTTCCGTATTATACTTCGTGGGAAAGATGTTCAGCACCATAATGTGGTGAATGATATGATGATAACCCAGGAGGTTACGTATCGTCCACAGCCTGGTGCGGATGGGGTCACAAAAGATTCAAATGTAATGCTTCAATCATATACTTTGTTCACCTGTTTGCTGGTCTAGTTTTTAGGCTTGTACTGATTGTGTGCTTTTGGTTATCAGATGGTTGCTGTTGTTACTATTGGGTTTGTGAAAGATGCTAAATTTCATATTGATGTTCAAGGATTCAATGTTTATCACAAAAACCGACTGATTAAGGTTTGTTTTCTGGTTAAATTATAGCCAGAATTATGTATGTTACTTAATTAACATTCCTTACCCACATGGTTAAGTAGATTTGTGATTAATATCATCACTGGAATCATCTATTTGCCTAAGTTGCAAGTTCTCAATTACTGGTAACATGGTTGAGAATCACGTGTAAGCTGTTCTGCATGGTCCTTTGCTTTTTTCCATAGTTTTCAGTGATGCATCATGTTCAAAACAATGTGAATATCTTTTTTGTTTTGTTTTTTTTTTCTTTCTTTCTGGCCAGCCGTTTTGGAGACTTTGGCATGCTCCAGGAAGTGACGGTCGTGGAGTGATAGGTATTGGTCCTGCCCTGAAAATTTAGGGTTTACCAGTTGGCTCATGAGTTGGTTTTTGAATTTTAATGCTTTGTCACAGGTGTGTTGGAAGCTAATTTTGTTGAACCAGCTCATGATAAGCAAGGGTTTGAGCGTACCACAGTTCTTTCAAGGCTTGAGGCTCGATTAGTACAAATGCAGAAGACATATTGGTTTGTTCTTCTCGTCTTGTGCTCTTGGATTTTCTGAGATTTATTTCTTCTAATATCTCCACTCATTCAGGTCCACAAACTGCCATAAGATTGGCTATGCTCCACGGCGAAATAAGAAATTTATGGATGATAAAGGTATCCAACGGTTTTTAATGTTTCCTACGTCCACCCCAACTCCCAAATTTTGTGCACTGAACAGGAAACCTGGATCGAATTGTTACTGTCCCTCACTGATATGTACTGATCTTGTAGAGAGTTCTCCTGATTATGTACCTCTGACATCATCTCCATCTAAAAAGAAGAGTAATGCCGCTAGCAGCAAGACGCCAGTTTCAAAATCAGACAAATTCTATTCACAGTCAAATAAGCAGCAGGTAAGAAGAGAGCCAGAAAGACATCCGAAAACATTGGACAAGGGTCATGGGAAAGGACATCTGTATGGTAAGGGGGACAATAGATGGAAGTCATCTGGAAAAGGCGCCAGTTCTTCAGGAACATCATCACCTGCGGTGGAGGATGTCAGTGATGATGGCGCTCAAACACCCAGAAATGTGAGACAAACAAATGGCAGTTCTCACAAGGCATTACCCCATAAGAAGCCATTTGCGAATGATGGTTTGCAAACAGTTCGGTCACCTTCATGTTTGGGAGATGACGAAGCTGAGCAAGATTATTCATCAGGTGGAAGAGCCCGACACAGACTTTCACAATCAAAGGTCAGACTAGATGCCCGACCTTTATGTCTTGAATAAACAATTATTGTGAGCATTCCACAACATCCAATCTTATAAAACTGTGTTTTAGCTTTCAAGGACATAATGTTGTGTTTTGTATTTGTACTGCAGGTTAGCATCATATGTTTCGTCATATAAAAATACTACACACTTGGCCCTTAGGATTTCTAACTTTTAAGGAGTTAACATTCAATATGTTCTCTTGGAGGGGTGGGGTTGGTGGAAATGTAGGTTTTCACAATTATAGTTTAAGGCTTCACCTTGATGGCTTCTGGAGATTTTTCTCCTACTTAAACGGTTGACATTAAACTTATACTGTAATTGGTTACACATTGGTTTTTTTGTGGTTGAGTAGAATTATCAGATGTCCAGGAGGGAAAGATGGGAAAATAATGTCTGGATGCTGGGAAGACATGCCTTTTACCTTATCTTAGGCAATAGCTTTCATGATTGCATGAAGTTCTTCCTACAAGAGCTTGCCAATGGGAATTACCAACATAGTTGATTGGCGCCTTTTCAATTTTCATGCAACTCATTCCTGGTACCATCTAGAAATCCGGAGAAGGAAAAACCAGCTAAAACTGGGGTACTAATCAGGATCATAGTTTGAAAAAATTAATTTCATTGGGAACATTTCTGATTTTTTTTTTTTAATTTTTATTACTCTTTATAGGAAAACGCAGCCAAAATTGACGAATCATATATTTTACTTGTCATTACCTTCCCAGCTGTGATATTTTTAGGGTGTCAAACTCTCTTTGAACATCCCTATAATAAATAAAAAAGGAGCTGCTATCTTTATTTTTGGTATTTTTTTTGGTTTTAAATTTTTTTTTAATGGTTTTTCTGGTTTTCAGTTAGAGAGGGAATTGTATTAGTAGTTTTGCGGATAGGGAAAAAGATGGTTTATTTGAATATCATTTCAAGACAGTGAGGCATACTCTGACTTTTATTTAAGATAACATAAGCATTAAGTGGGTATGAATGAGCATGTCTGATTGTTGCATAAGCATATATAGGCACACATTTTAAGTGCAGAAATGTTGATATAATGAGCATAAATGCAAATGAATTATATATAGATGCATATAGGTATACACATGCAGATAAATGTCTGTACTGTTATAGTCTTATGGCTGGATTCCATGCTCTCTTGGGTGGGATAATATTTTACCAAATGCAAATGAATTTTATATAGATGCATATAGGTATACACATGCAGATAAATGTCTATACTGTTATAGTCTTATGGCTGGATTCCATGCTCTCTTGGGTGGGATAATATTTTACCAAATGCAAATGAATTTTATATAGATGCATATAGGTATACACATGCAGATAAATGTCTATACTGTTATAGTCTTATGGCTGGATTCCATGCTCTCTTGGGTGGGATAATATTTTACCAAATGCAAATGAATTTTATATAGATGCATATAGGTATACACATGCAGATAAATGTCTATACTGTTATAGTCTTATGGCTGGATTCCATGCTCTCTTGGGTGGGATAATATTTTACCAAATGCAAATGAATTTTATATAGATGCATATAGGTATACACATGCAGATAAATGTCTATACTGTTATAGTCTTATGGCTGGATTCCATGCTCTCTTGGGTGGGATAATATTTTACCCTGCTAGACATTTTAACGCAGTTCTGATTGAATAAAAGTTGAAGAAGGTGTCTAGATTTTCTTATAGGGAATGCAGTGAGCATGGAACTTATTCTTTTTGGTTTGGAAATTCAGGTCACTATCCTGTGGAGGACTTGTTTATGTGGACTTACATCTCCTGCATGATAAGCAGATGCTCTTGAACATTTGGCTTGTGATATCTATAGAGTTAATATGTTCCGAAAGATACTGTGGTGCTATTCTGCTTGACAGAACAGGATTGTTTGGTGTTGGGGTGTAGAAGCTTTTGGTGGGTTGATGTAGCCTTTTCATTGAGACAGACCTTACCCTATATTTAGTTCCAAGTGTCCCCCAGTTTTGCAATCTCTTTGCCTCAGTTTGGATGAGCATGCTTGTTCGTATACCTGCTTATTAGGGAAAAAAAAAAGGGAAAAGAAAAAATAAAAATAAAGTAAAAAGTTTCCCCTCTTCCTCTGATTTTTAATTATACTATTAAATGATACACATTATCTACTTGTATTGGACGATAGCTGTCTATTATGACAGATTGACAAAGGTGATTTCTGATGCATTGTTAATATGTCATCTGTTTAACCGACAGGGAGAGGATGTTGCCGGAAATGAGTCTTCACCTTCAAATTCCCATACACATGCTTTGGAGCAGTTAAGAAAAGAGAATCACGAGTTAAGAGAAAGGTGGTCTTTCTCCTTGAAATATGAGTGTTGTACACCACACTTGTTCCATTTGTTTATGTTCTTACATTCTGTTTTCTTTTGTTTCCATAGATTAAAAAGGAACGAGGAAGAGATTTTAGGTGATCTGCTGCAGGATTTACAGCTTGAGAGAGACAGATGCAAATCACTTGAAACTCAGGTAGTTATTGCTGCACCACTCCCATTAATTTTTAGTGGCTAATCTGGAATGGTTGACAAATCAGTCTAAATGGTTATGTACATCCCAGGTAGCTGTGATTCACATGTAAGACATTAACAAGTAGGGATAAGTTTTCAGTGCCTTGGATGTATCCATCCACGGGTTATCTCGTTAGAGTTGTTCAATTTTGGAGTTTTTTGTCTTTGTTGGTAACCCTTTGCAATCAACTAGGGTAATGATCTTAATCTAATGTACGGATGACAGGGTTTCAGTGCAAGAGCTTATTTTGGGTGGAAATTATACTTTGAAACTTTTTGATTTTTTTACTTTCGTGAACAATAAGACATTGTGGTCTCCAAAATACATCGTATGGGAGTGAGGTTAAAATTTAAGGTATTGTTAACTAGTATGACATGGAACCCTTTGTCTTTAAGTCTTGAAATTCCATTTGATCAGCTCCAGGAGGCAACACAGAAGATTGAAGAATTGAACAAGGAACAAGAAAGTTTAGTAGACATATTTTCAGAGGAAAGGGAGCGTCGAGACATAGAAGAGGAAAATTTGAGGAAGAAGTTAAAGGTCATTTTCTTCTTTCTGTTGTGCTAATTTTCTTTCATCTTCATAGTTCACCTTTTTTTCTTTTTATATTAAATGGGATGTCAATGAAGTTAAAATTGCTTTATCACTTCAATTTTCCTATAGGATGCATCAACAACCATCCAAGAGTTGCTTGACAAGGTGAGGCTGTTGGAGAAGATTAGGTCTCCTAATTGCAAAATGGAGCGTTAGGTGTGCAACATCATTCTTGCGTTGAGATTGTAAATGGTTAGAATTAAACCCTTTATACTAGTCTTTGAGTACAAGATTTTCACGAGTATTTGGGCTTTGACTAAGCTGTAGAAGTTTTCTTAGTAGAGCATCGTCCTTTGCATGGTTTACTGACAAAGGCCTCTTGTACCCGACCTTCACCAAGATGTTTCCTTGTATTAAAAAGCTGATGTAAAGTAAGATTATAGACAATTCAAGGGACATTGAAGGCTATTTTGTGTCGGTGCCAAGTTTTGTTTGGGCCATTCTAGTTTTTTGATGTAATTATAGGTATCCTTTTGTTCAATGATGTCCCACACTTTGTTCTCAATTGGTAAATTGGCATAGCCATAGCTAATTCTTCATAACTGCTCCCAAATACAATGGGTTGTGGATACAACGTCCTGTTTTGTGGCTCTTTTGCGCCCCAACTCCAATTTTCCGAGCAGTTTAGCTGTGCCAAATCATGAGGGTGACAATTGATTCGTCTTCTGCTAAATGTGGATCTTGAAGCGAACGTTGGTGAAAGTTCAATTTCCTTGATGTTCAAGCTAGCAAACAACTCCGCCAAAATTGGGAAAATTTGAATCATGTTGTATAGTTTGGTTGAACTCCACTAGTGCAACTCGAATATAGAAAGTATCAGCATGAGTTGCGCATTTGACTGGATCAGGAGGGGGAGTTAGTCGAGATTTGTGTAAGTTAATTTGGACATCTTTGTTCGATGAACCAAAAAAAAAAAAAATTTAATATGAGCTCTACTCAAGTTATAATGCTTTTAACCCAACTTCAATTTGAATTTTGTCCATTTCTAAACTAGAAATTTGGGCTCAATTTTAACGTTGGATTGGTTTAATTTGCGTTGATTGTTTGGATTAAATAACTCGGGTTAAAATATTGTGGTAGGAGAAAAATATAATTTCTAAAAAGTCGTATTTTGACTAGATAATTTATTGAATTTAAAGTGATTTGAGAGATTGTTAATGTTAAGGCTAGAAGTAACTACTTTTTAAGTCTTTTCTTTCTGCAAGGTTTTGTTACTTCTTTAGGCAAAAGCTTTTAATAGAATGCTTGAGCATTGAGCCTCTAAAACTCGGCTTTTTAACATGAGTCTCAGAATATGGGGTTAAAGGTTAAAAATTTAGGGTTTTTTTGTAGGTCGGTATTTTATATACGACTTGTTTGTCTAAAAATCTTTCGGTTAAAATGTTTTGTGGAGAAGTCTTTTTTTTTTTGTTCCAAAAACACTCACATAGGTAATTGAACATACAAGTTGTTTGCCTTTGAAAACCACCGGATTCCATTCACCATCTCCACAAAATCCGACCACTAATCAAAGTCCCAAAATTGGGTTTTTTAAAATTTGAATAAAATTTCTTCAAATTCTTTCAGTTTTCAATCATACACAAACCATAGTCCTCCCAAAATGAATTAAGAGTTTACTATATTAATGGGACAATGAATTTGAATTATAAACATCTTATTTCCCTTTCCTAAAATCTTTCCCACATAATTCTAATTTCCTTTTTCTAATATCTCGGTCACATAATTCTAATTTCCTTTTCCTAAAATCTCTCCAACATTTTTATAATTTATTTTTTCTTACGTTTGTATATTTTTGACCCTATATAGAATTCTCTTCTCCTCTATTAACAGTAAATTCTTGCTTAAAATTTCTCCATTAATTATTTGAAATTAATGTCATTTTACAATGTTATACTGTGATGTAACACTAAAATTCATTAAAAGTAATATATATGAATGTCACATTATGTGATGCATACTATTTATATTTGTGCATAAATCAGTGAATGTAATTTCACAGTTTTTTGTCAGTGATTAAAGAGCTTGTTTGGATGGAGGGTTTGAGTGGGTATATAAAGATGGATTNGGATGTCACATTATGTGATGCATATTATTTATATTTGTGCATAAATCAGTGAATGTAATTTCACAGTTTTTTGTTAGTGATTAAAGAGCTTGTTTGGATGGAGGGTTTGAGTGGGTATATAAAGATGGATTTAACAAAATAGTCCAATGAAGAGGCTAAACCCATGTTTGGATGCAGGCTTAATGCCCGGGATTTAAATTTCGGCCCGCAACAAACAGGCCCCTAAAACCCATGAACAAAGGTTTCTCCAAACCCAGGGGGATGTGAGTTTGAAATCAGCTCAACCTGGATATGATAGTTAAAAGACATTTGTATCCCTAATAAAACCTCATATTTACACAAATAATATCTCAACCCCCAAACCCTATCAACAATCAGTTGCCCGGGAAATCCAAACAGACCCCAAATCTTGGGAAATCTATAGGAAAGACGGGTCTGGGAAAGGGAGGACGCTTGTCTTTTTCCTGGCAACGAGAGAAGAAATCAACGGGAGAAGAAAACTGGTAGAGAGATTCGCACAACATGGAGATCTCTAGGGAAGGGAAGAAGTTTGTCCTCTCCTTTGCCACCGATGGAAGAAAAGCAATGGTGTTGTTGAGAGATTCTTGACTGTCCAACTCAATCATTGTTCGATCAAGCTTCGGTTAGGCTATAAAAAGCCCTTTTATTTTTTGATTTTCTACCCATCTAGCCAAGGTAAGTCCAAGTTTTTTTGCTTTGTCGCTCCTCTATTTTCTTCTCTTCGTCGCTAAATCGGAGGGCTGGATTGGGGGAGGGGGGGTGGTCTAGAATGGTCTGAAGTTTGGTTTATGTTTTTTGTTTTGGTAATATCTTCGATTTTTTTTGTTCTCCATTTGTTAAATTTCGGTTGAATTTTTTTTTTTCCAATTTGACATTTACATTGAGCATTTATAAGGGAGAAGACTGTACTACTCCAGCCATTTGAGATTTGGAGGTTAGTGGAAAAAATTTATTAAATATGGTTTTTCATCACAGTATGAGGGACATGTCTATCCTGTGTGATTCTTTTCTCTTGGAAAGGATATTTGCATTAGTAATTTTGTAATCGTCAACTTGATTGGTTTTTGGTATTTTGTTTGTTTTCATTTTCTGTTTTTTTCTGAGTTACTTATTTTTGTTTCTACATTAAGTTGAGTGGGAAGTTCTGGAATTGTATTAGAGTAACTTGGATTTGGGTGAGGATTTTCTACTTATAATAGAGGTTTGATTAACTAAATGTTGCTTATGTTGATATATTTTGTTTAATTCTGGTGATGAAGACCCTAATGCTGAATAAACATGTGACAAATAAGGGATATTTGTGGAGTTTCTTTGCTTTGTTTTCCTACACACAATAGACACACACACACACACAGAGACGGGGACAATTGTATAATGGTCTTAATCAATAAGCAGATGTCCAAAGTATATTGGGTAATGAACTTTGTGATTCCCAATATCTTGTATAGATTTTTTTTACATGGTTAAGTAGATCATTAATTGACATGTATCATGTATGTAACTAGCCAAAAATTACTTCAGAAAGGTCATTCCTTTTCCAACTGGCATGCTGGCAAGTAATTCATGACTTTCGAAAGCTATTGGCATTCTGCCTCTAATATGTTCGTACTTTTGATAGTATGCTAAGATGATTTATAATTCAATGCTTAAAGTTGTTTGTTTGCTCTAAATTTATTGAAGTACATCTAGGAATTTTTGTTAATATTGCTGTGTAAGTCTATAATAAGATTAAGGATAATATTGTTGGATGTTATTTTGCACTTCTGAGATGTAGCTGCCAAACATACTTTCATGTGTACATGAATGCATTTCTTAATTAAAAAGCACTTCCAAACAACTGATTCACCAAACATCCAACATTTCTTGAAAGTCCAGCCTTCATGTTTACCTTACAAAGTCCATATGTCCAAAATATTAGCTTACAAAGCTAACTTGTTATTGATGGTAAAATTGAACTAAATTTTTCCCATCCTCTTACAGATTATCAACTACATTTTTCTTCATTCTTTAACAATGAAGTCTATACCACACATACTGTTCATGGTAATAGGGTAGCTTGATGTTAGTAATAGTCGGTAAGGATTGTTGCATGTTGTTATTGAATTCCTTTCGCCTACTGTTTTTGTTTTGTTAAGTTCTATTCCATGCAAGTAATGGTATTAGTGGATGATTTACGTGTATGTCAATTGGTTCAAAGCTTTTTGAATTAAATATTTTTTGGCAAAGTTAACTTAACATTAGGCCTACATGTGGATTCAACGCTATTTGTAGTTGTGACATGGCAAGTGTTGGGAGTTCACAATTTAGGGGAAGTTTCTAGTTTGATAAGGAACCGAGATGAATGTGGACAGCGTCTGAAGAATCTGTCCTTTTAAATGCGCTTAAAGACATTTGCAATTAGGGCTGGAAATCCCAAAATGGGGCGTTCAGATTAGGCTATTTGCACCACTTGGAGAAAGTTTTATCTGATGCACTTGGCGGAATTGACCTACGTGCCACTCCACACATTGAGTCGGAGATTAAAAACTAGAAGAAATTTTACAACACATTCTTCACCATGCTTAGCACGTCAAGTTTCGATTGGAATGACGAAGAACAAATTTGTGTTACGTTATTAACTTATTTATTGTGTATTCATTTTGTAATGGATATGATTAACAAAACATGGTTAAAAGAAATGCGACGATTGAGGTTGACATAAGACAAGGAAGATGTTCTGTTGGATTGCCTTATAGACTTTAAGTTAGAGAGGCGTATTGCCAACNGTGTATTCATTTTGTAATGGATATTATTAACAAAACATGGTTAAAAGAAATGCGACGATTGATGTTGACATAAGACAAGGAAGATGTTCTGTTGGATTGCCTTATAGACTTTAAGTTAGAGAGGCGTATTGCCAACACGAGTGAATTCTTCGAAGGAGTCTAGAGTCGTCTGTGGGAGATGATAAGTGAACGTCGGCAAGCATCGCGATTAACTCTTGACCTAGTAATGAAAGTAGTTATTTTCTGGAAGAGACGTCATTCCAAGATGAAAGATATGGAGGCTTCAGGGTTGTTTCGTTGGAACAATGAACGAGTTCTTTTTCCCAATCAATCCGGCCGGAGTGTTTTTCTNGCAAGCATCGCGATTAACTCTTGACCTAGTTATGAAAGTAGTTATTTTTTGGAAGAGACGTCATTCCAAGATGAAAGATATGGAGGCTTCAGGGTTGTTCCGTTGGAACAATGAACGAGTTCTTTTTCCCAATCAATCCGGCCGGAGTGTTTTTCTTAGAGATTTATTTTTGTTAGATTTTTACATATGTATATTACTATATGAATAATTATGTACATGTGTGCACAAATCAAATTTATCATTTTTTGTAGGATGACACATTCGCATCTCGAGCGTGTGTGCG